AGTTGGAACTCAAATATTCCAATCGCTTGTTCTTTCTGTAGTGCGACAATGGAGACAAGGAATTACCTGTTCTTCGTTTGCCCATATTCGACGACGATATGGCGTAATCTTGCTGGGGTCCTATGTACTGCGTTTACCACAAATTGGGATGCAGTCGTAGCGTTAGTCTCAAGGTCTTCTCGGGATAGAATTCAGGATTTCACTGTCCGATATCTATTCCAGCTCACGGTTTACTCTATCTGGAGAAAGAGAAACTCACAGAGACATGGAAATACTCCGACAACGGCTTCACGTATGATCAAATGGATTGACAAAGATATGCGAAATCGTTTTAGTTCGATTCGGCTGCTGGGTGATTTGAGGTATGAAGAGGGGATCCAGGCCTGGTTCGCATCAAGGCCTACTTCTTGAGGAAGCTGATTCTTTTTGCAATTCTTTACTTGGTTCTTTTGTAATTTCGAGTTCTAAACTGCTCTAACTAAAAGCTCGCATCACAGATGTAGACAAGCTATTTTTTTTGTTTGAACACAATTTAACATTCACTCAAAAAAAAGAAGAAGCTGAACTGTGATGCTCTGGCTCGGTCACTGACTCAACGGGTTGGGTCCTTTTTAGCTTCTTAAGAAAAGTTGGAGGAAGGACCTCATCCACAACAGCACGTGCAAAGATGATAATTCATACAGAGACAAGCCGCTTGATGAAGTAAGGATGATACTCACTTGAACCAAGTTCAATGATGGAAGCCACAGCTTTCTTGTAATCATCTAATGGGTCTGAGACGGTTGCACCAACAAGCTCGAATGGTTCCTAATATAAACAAGAAACACAACGAGACCTGATCATAAGAACATCTTCAATGAAACTACAGAGCATGGAAAAAGCCAAATCCAAATCCAATTTCTTCAGTTACTTTCTCAAGTAACATTGCACAGAAGAGTAGAAAACAGAAGCAAAACCCAAGTATCTATTGTAGCTCGATGCAATTACAAAATCAGAAGGTTAAACAACGTAATCAGTATTATTATCATCTTCTAATCACGCAAATTGAGATAAAAATCAAACTATGTAGACAAAATCAAGCTTCGATGAGGGACGTGAAAGAGTGTTTTTGGCATAACCTTGACACCAATATGTAACTCTGTCACATCAGCTACCTTCTTCGCATAAGCTGAAAGATCATCATAACAATCAGCGATAAACAACAAACATGAATCCAAGGAGATCAGATCAAATCAACCACATTTTTTTAAATAGCTAATGTAAAGCATTATCAGATCGATTGCACAGGTATGGGTGCGAAAACAGAGAAGATCGATGGGATGAATCAGATCGAAATTAAAAAAACACCGAAGACATTAAAAGAGAAAGATAATTCACCTAGTGTTAGAATTCAAGCAGAACCAAAACTTGGGAGAATCCTTCATAATAAACCCTCGATTTTTTCTTCCATTTTACTGTCGATGTGTTCTGGTTGAAAATCGTCATAGGAGAAGAAAACGTCGACCAAAAAAAAAATGAGAATGAAGAGATTCTGGATAGAAGAGAGGGTTTCTAGAAAATAAAATAAAAAATTTCGTTCAAAAATAATAAAGCGCCACATGCTCTATGAAACTGTCTCTTTAAACTCTGATATAAGAGATAGTTAGTTAAAAAATAGGGAATTTTGGTGTGGTAGCATAACGACAAGGATAAATTAAGTGCGCGAGAACTAATTTTTCTATAGGGTGGAAAGTACTCAATACCCCCTCACCTTCAGTGCACTATAACACACTTGATGTATGATAACGTTTATGTCTTAACATTTTTCAATTTATCTGACAATTTTCTCTTTCATCCCACTTTACCTTTAATTCAAATTTTTCTATCCACGCCTTTATAGGGGAACTTGGGTCGATGAAATTCATTTTGAATTTCAAATCAGTCACAACCCAGTATTACTGTTTTCTCCCTTTCTCCTTCAATATCTGAGCTCTTTCTCTCTTATCAGACGAACGGCGACTGAGGCTAGGTAGCGACGTCGTCTTTTTTTGGGATATCAACCATGGTCGGCGAGTCTTCTACGTCACCCAGTTCTAAATCGACGGCGGATTCTGGAAGGTATAAACTTTTTTCTTGTCTCCTCTAGCACTCCTTGAGGTGTTTCCGTCATTTCGCTACAGTGAATGACACGAACTCTGTTATCACTCGCACCCACGCGATTTTATATCTTAAAGTGTTAGATCTGATTTTCCAGTTATTTTCTAGGGTGATTTGCATCAATATTATGTTTGCCAGTTTCATTGTCTTCTTCACCCACCAGATGTTTTATCTACAGATCTATAGTCGTGTATAGTAATCGACTACTAAATTTCGGTAGTCATTTACATTTAGAATTGGGGTAGTTAACTATTGGACAACATATACTTCACTTTCATGATAAGTGACTACTGTAACTTGATAGTTAACTTCTTTTTCTGTTGTATTTCGTAGGCATATCTCGATCCTCGGAAACCCCAATGTCAATCCTTTGGCAAATGATGTGTTTCCGCATATTCGTGATGCAGTAATTGGCATATTCCAAAGAGTTGGTACGGTATCTGCAGAAGACGCTTGCTCGTTTGCATCATCTTGTAAGTTCCTGAACCAAACATTCAAGGAACCATCTGTGACAAGGGTTATTAACATATCAGCTTTCGTCAAGAGACCGAGTTTAATTCAGGACTACCCTACCTTTTTTGAGTCAGCGATCAACTCAGGTAATCCAATTGCACTCTATCTCCGTGGGATGAGCCGAATAACGGTTGCTAATGATATTGAATGTTCGCTGAGGTTTTTGAACCAAGCCTCAAAAGGTGGAGTTGAAGCGGCGACTGTAATGTTGGCAATCTGTGTTACAGCTGTTGGGCACTATCCAAAAAGCATGGATATGTTAGACCGTGTGGTTGGTTGGAGAGTAAAAATCGAGCATATGATCTCCATTAGGGAGCAAGTGATGGATTTAATCACGAAAATGGTGGTCCCTGATAGTCATACATCTTTACCCCAACTAGCCCTTGATTTCCCCAGCTGCCGTTTGAAGCATCAGCTAATGTACTGCGAACACTGCTACCTCTACATTTACTACCACCATGCAAAATTCTCATTAGACCCCTAATTAGTTGAGTATGTTGTTGCCTTATATTAAACCATAATATCTATTATATTCGACTACTATTAGTTGCCTACTTATTAGTTAGCTATTACCAATTTCCAATGTAGTTGACTATTATCAGATGGGTTTAGCTCTTAAGTACTGTATTAATTAATGTAAGACTAAATATTATTGTGCAATTTATTTTGGGACCCTCTAATCTTAGCAATATTTAATTTTCTGAACCATTAAGCAGGAGGGAAAAATGAAATTTTATTCTCGCTAACAACCTCTGATAACCGTTTTTTTTTAAAAAAAATGCAGAAAAACCGCAATTATAACTTCCTTTACTGCCCTTCATAAGTTCCCGTCTGCCATTTCTTTTTTTCTTCTCTCACTCCACGAACTTATTTGCAACTGTCATTTCTCTCTTTATATCCCTTATTCTCTTTCATCTTCCCTGTTATCTTTCATCTTCCCCGACGCTTTTCTTTAACCTAAAAAGACACCCAGCGACCGACTGTTTTTTTTTCTTGCGTCCGAACCGCCTCCGCCGCACCGATAACGACGACCCAGTCGTCGTCTCTGTTGCCCTGCCCCTTTCAATTTTAAAGGTAAGCTCTTTCACTGTTTATTGTACTTCCCCATCCTTTAGATCCCGTTTCGCCGCCGCCGCCGTACGCAGAGGCGTCCCTGAACAACCGATTTCATACTCGAATTTCGATGGCTATTAGTAAATAATTATCGTAATAGTCGTATATTTTCAATGAATAAATGTAGTTTATTTCGAATTTGATATCGTTTCTGCTCCAATTTCAGATCTAGGTTTTCGTTTTATCGTTTTCAACTATTTCTAACTTGGGACTCTAGGGATTTCGGGGTGACACCCGACTTTGGTTTGGTCCGATATTATAAAAATTAATATACAAGTAACCGACTATTCTATCACAAACCAGTTTATGTCCAATTCGATTGTATAATCGATCGTAACTGGCGTATACATGAATACGTTAGTTGATTACCAGTAGTCATTTAGGTAATATTTGGCTATTTTCTTCAACCGTTTTTTGTTGCCGGTTATGATAATTATTCATCTGCAAATAAACGATTACTTGTAGTTATTAAGGTTTAATTGGCTACTATATTCAACCGGTAGTTACTGACTTATAGCCATTTATCTATTTTACAGAGTACAATCCATGACCCGGTTTCCGGACTGACTGTTTGCCTTAGGCAACGAACCGGCGAATAAAAAGGTGAATACCTACTTCCAGCTACCTTATCTCGACACTATCAGTCATGCTTTGGAAGAAGACCATATGGAGAAGCTCTCTCTGTCCCAATTTGGAAAGATTATTGAAACAAGCAACAAGATAGCATCGTCAATCAGATTTCTTCATTTCATTTTGTCGAGACAGCTGGTTACGAAAAAAAAAAGCTTTGGTGCCTCTTTGCTGGGCAGCCAATTCGCTTTTCTATCAGAGAGTTTGCTATTACGACGGGGTTAGATTGCTCCAATTTACCACCGCCGAAAAAGTTCAAGGAAGACCAGGTCAATAAATATACCATTGAATTATTTGGTTCTGAGAGGAATGCAACCCTTGGATGGATAGCGAATACCCTTGCCGGCAGACCGTACAAAGATAAAGCTACCAGATTCAAGTTGGCATGCCTACTCCTCATAGACGGTATTGTCTGTCCTACCTCCAAAAATGCGAAGATTAGTGCCGAGCACATCATGTTGGTACAAGATGTTGACAAATTTCTCGAATATCCATAGGGTCGAAAATCTTTTGATCTGACTATTCACAGCATCAAAACTAGGACAGCTACGACATCATACCTTTCTCAGCCAACCTGTGCTTTTCAGGGTTTTCTACATGCTTCACAGATGGTTTTTTTGGAGTGTGCTCCTTCTATTCTGCAGAAGGATGTAAAAGGTAAATCAACCAAGCATACCCTGAGGGATGACGATGATGAAGAAGATGAATTCCCAAGTGTACGGCCTGGTTCTATGAAACCGATTAATATCTCGATGCCTCATGTGAAGTCTCTCGACAATAATACCAAGGTATGTTATATATTTCGGAATACTGGTAACTGGTTACTAGTAGTCAATTCATTTATCATCCGGATTGCGACTACCCACGGCACGTAAAAGTTATGTTAACCAGTAGATATCTATTGATAATCAAAGACCTGATAGTTACCTACGCGTGAAATTTAAACATTGTATGATTGTTAGTTGTCTACTTACAGGTAATTAAGACTACTTGTAATGTCGCATAGGACTGGAGTGTAATAGTAGTTCCTAGTGTTATATAATCAACTTCTAATAGTTAACTACTTGTAGTGTAGATTTGTTTTGTTCGCGATGGTTACTACCAGCGGATATATTACTAATGAACTATTAAAAGGTGTATACTTGGTAGCTACTTACTCGTGGTAATTTATCATCACAGGTGGCTGTCACAGCAATCTTACCGGACGATGAACACCTGTTGGATGATACCGATTTTGCATTTGATGATGATGTCCCGGACGAAACCGTAGAAAACTTACTCGCAGCAATCAGTGATGGCAAGAAATTTTCTAGGAAGACATGGAATGGCGGTGAAAGTGCAAGTCTTCTTCAAAACCAGCCAAATGCACCAGCGTCATCGTCTCGGAACACATCTTCTGATGTGGATTTAGATCTTGCTGCTTCTTCCATGCTTGAAAAGGTTGTACGTGAGACCGAGTTTGTATTATCAGAGATTAAAAGTCTTCGTACCGAGTTTGTTGACCTTCGTTCCGAAGTATCTTCCACTTTGAGTACCTTTAAGGATTATATTCGGAGCCAACAGGATCCTTCGCCTAAAGTTCGAGAACCTGCTAAGCGACCGCTTGGCCGTAGGGTCAAGTCCATTCCACTAAGAGCCAAGCACGTACGATTTCAACAGGTTTCTTCGTCCGAGGAGTCCAAGTCCTCAGATCCATCAAAAGAAGATGACGGCGATGACGGTACAAAGAACAAGGATTCAAGCAGTCCTTCTACCGAAAGTGACGACGTTGTGGATACCAATGTCGGTGATGTTGTTGAAATTTACGATGGTGATGCCTATGAAGATAGAAGGGAACCTGACGCTGAGGGATCTGGAGATGTTGGCGAAGTAGGTAGACAAATGCCAGTTGACGTTGATGATGTCCAAGACGCTGCTACACTCGCGAGCAACCAGATTGCGAGTGTGCTGTCTGATTTATCAGACCAAGTACAGGTACGTAGTCAACTACTAATAGCCATATACTTGCAACTAAACTACTCACTCACACTTGTCTTGTTAATGTAGGTTAATGTAGAGCCGTCAATAATCCAGCCTGTTCCATCACCACCACCATATGTGAGTATACAACTAGTTAAGCATACAATCTCGTGTCTTAGTACTCGATTATATGATACAATAATATCAGGTTGTACAGCCGAGGGACCAAACCGGTGCCGATAAAGATGTCCCACCTGTTGTTACCAACGAAGAAACCGATGCTGCTGAAGATGTCCCACCTGTTGTTACCAACGACAGAACCGATGCTGCTAAAGAGGTTTCACCTGTTGACACGAACGACCAAACCGGCCCACAGGAAGATGTGACACCTGTTCAGACCAACGACCAAACAGTCCCCCAGAAAGAAGTAGCACCAGAACCCCAGGTTCGTTAACTTTATTAATATCATCACTCAGTAGTTGTGTTTAATGTAGCTATTTACTAAGTAGTCAATTATTTGTAATTTTGACAACACACTTATGTATACTAGATCATGCTGGAGACCCAACACACTATTCCTGAATCTGCGATCTCAGCCGGCACACAGATGGAAACGGTTTGTACTCTATTATTTCTTTTTCCTTAGAATCATCTAGGAAGTCTAAGTTAAGGTAGTTAGCTACGTGTAGAGGACTACTGTTCGTTCATCTTTCGGTGATAATTCGTCGACGTACCAGTTTAGTTAGGACCTACAAATTCCTGTAGTCAACTACTAATATATGATTTTTTTTATGTCCCTTTAAGGGATTGGGAGATGATGTCCCAAATGCCCAGAAAGAGATCGAAATTCCAGCAGGCGTTGATCCTCCTGTGTGGTCACTGGGTCTTAAACAGGAAGAGAAAAATATGGCCCAAACATCTAAGACTGGAGGTGAAGAACAGGGAACAGATGACCGACTATATAGTCCCACGAACTAAACGCCCGAAGAAGTCTGATAAATCAATTGACATGTCGCATTGGTTTCCAACACCAAACTTCGAACAAGTCATCCTCCTACAAAATAGAATGAAAGATACTCGGTAAGTAAACGTTTAATTGATTTTTGTTTACTATTTGACGGTAGTTAACACTGGGTCCTTTGCAACGCTTGTTATCTGTAAGACTTTTCCTAGTTGGAATGGGATTGTCCTCTCTGTCAACATTTTGAAAGAAATTGTTGACCTGAAATTCACGATCTCCGTGATGGTAATTAGTAACTAACTATTTATCAATAGCTAACTATTTTCAATGTGTCTACTATGTAACTGACTACTTTCTCTTCTATCTTTTATATTAGTCTATCGACAGCATTATTAGGTTATTCCGTCATCAACTGGCGGAATTGAACGACGATCGGTGCACTTATGACTTTGTCGAGTACACGTTCCTTCACGGCATCGCTGAACTCCTTCCGCATTTCACAAATCCCCCGAAGAAGAAACTTGTCTCACTCCCTCCTGGTTCAGCTGCATACGTCAAAGCCAGGCGCTCATGGTACACTCAGGTTGCGCGGATTTATTGCCCTTTTCAAGTGGATGACCGATACTGGGTGGGGCTTTGCATCGATTTTGAAAGCCACGAGATTCTGGTACTGAATTCATATGCGACACTCAAAGAGATGAAACTTAAGACAAGTGTCGCGCCCCTTGCACAGTCTCTACCACATTTTATCAGGAGAGTGGCATACAATACAGAGATGAAAGCAGACGACCTGACGGCGTTCACAATAAAAATTGTGAAACCAACTTTCCAGACATCGACTTTAGGTATCTCCTATTTGTAGTAATATACATATACGTGTTAAACGTTTACAGATAGTTAACTATTTTTCTGCACGACCAGGTCATTTGGGTGTGCTGGCACTCATGTCTATTCAGTTTCATGCTGCAAATGTGCCTCTGGACAATGATGTGGGTGATGATGTTGTTCGTGACGCTTCCCTGAAGTTTGCTTATGATCTCCTATGTTTGATTGAACCGCCTTCTCTAGCTAATGCCGTAATTCCAAAGGACCCTGCGTCTTGATGCCAACATTGCATCCATGTATTTTAACAACTTATTCCCTGTCGAACATGTCACATCATTTTAGACACTTATCCCTTTATGACTTATTGTTATGTTTCTGTGTTTTATGAACTTCGACATATTTAATTATTAGTAGTCGTTTATTATCATCAATCGGAATGAAGCATTACTAATATTTATGTGATAGTAACCATCGCGAACAAATAAGTCTGTATTACAGGTAGTTAACTAGTAATAATCACTTATATAACAATAGAATCTACATTTACACTCCAGACCATTGTGACATTTAAAGAATTGTTAATTAACTACAAGTAGACAACTATCAATCATCCAATGTTCCAAAAGAGACTCCAATTTCGTACGCACACTCAAAAGGCAAAGACTATAATTCCCAGGTTAACAAATAGTTTCTATGCTACAGATAGTTATTTATTAATAAACTCCTATATACTACGACAATCTACTATTTAAATACAGCCCAATGCGGCATTTCTTAAATGTGATAAGCATATACAAGTAGACAATTATCAATCATACAAGGTTTTTAATGGAGATTCAAAATGCGTAAGAGCAATTAATTATCACTACTAGAAGGTCAAGAACATGTTTCACGATGCGTAGTATCACATTCAATAATAACAAAATAACTAAGGGCGGAAAGTTGCTGAGGCATTACAAAAAGTATCCAAGATCCAATTACTTATTTTAGGATGCATAGTTCCAAAAAAAGCTTCAAATTTCCAGGAGATAAGAACCAACATAAAATGTTGACCCTTAACTTGCATTTGAAGTGCATCATATCCGATTCTCCCCTGCCTCATCCCAACATAACCCATGCCACTTCACTTACCTTTCATGCACCGGTAGTTTGCATGAAGCTTTGTTGTGTCCCTTTCCAAGACATCTGCTGCAAACCCTCGCTGCCTTCCTCGAACGCCTCTGTTAAGTTAGAGAACGTCAATAGATGACTACGATTACCGAGTAGTCATTTACGACATAAACAATTACTAACTAACTAGCAAATAATCGTTACCTTAAACTCTCCATGCGATGGGATCCTTGTTTTCCTTGGTCGCCCTGGGGGACGGCGCATCAATGGTGGTAGTAGTTCGGTCCCACCAGAACTTACAGGAGTTGGTACTGGATGGAAAGCTCCTTCGTAAAGGGATCGTCGGTACCTTGTGGTGTACACCTCCCCTACAAGCTTATCTAACTCAATTTTGCTCAACGAAGAAGCTGCCATTGCATGGCGGCATGGTATGAGAAGCATTTGAACTTCCCTGCAGCTGCACGTCTTTAAACCAAGGTTCACTTCGAACCTTTCCCCCTGTATGTTGTAAACTTCGTACTCATCCTCTCCGACCACAACCACCTACACATCAACAAAGTCAGCTACAAGTAGTCGTATACAAATATACAACATAAACTAGTTAAACACAGGTAGTCCGATAGTCCACTAATCGACTACTATTTACCTTTAACTCGGTGGAATCATGGTAGTTCTCGTCCATCAGGTCACGGACTTTCTGATTGATAGAATGTTGCTCTGCGGCGGATGCAGCTTTTCTCCGTACGAACCAGCTGATTAGACTCATCCGTATGGCCTCAAGCATTGAGATTAATGGAAATTCCCTACACTCTTTCAAGACTTTGTTGAGAGATTCAGCAACGTTTGTGGTCATTACGTTGTACCGTTCGCCAATGCAGTATGCCCTTATCCAGTGTGGTAACCCTAAATCAAGTAAGTACTTGGCACAGCTAGGACTTACGCTTTGGAGATCTGCAAATATCTGCTGAAACTCGTACACGGTATATGATTTTGCAGCTCTGACCATCAGACCAGGTAGCCGACTTTCTTTAAACCGTGCGGTTATGTTCCTTGCTAAGTGAACCAGACATGCCCCATGACCGGCATCAGGGTACACCTAATATATCAAAATAGTTGGTTATTAATAGACAACTATATGTAAGTAACTATGAATCTGTGATTGGTCATTATCTCACACCTTTTTGAGTCCAGAGTAGATGCTCCCGTGTCTGTCTGAAACAAACATAACATCACGATCATTGGGACTGATAGTGTTCAAGCAATTGAAAAACCATTCGTAAGATGCATCATTCTTGCTGTCCACAACAGCATATGCAATTGGATAGATCTGAAAGTTCCCATCTTGAGCACTAGCACATATGAGACAGCCCCCATATCTGCCTACCAGATGAGTCCCTGTAACGATGGAGAAGGATTTATGTTTTATTATATATAATGGGTAGTTACTTATCACGTAGTTGTATATAAGTAATTAGCAACTAACCATCAGTAATCACCACTGGCCGTAAGTATGGGAGTCCAGCAATAGAAGCAGCAAACGATATGAATAGGTACTTGAATCGTTGACAACCATTTTTGTCCAGTCCGAACTCAGTTTTGCAAACCGTCCCAGGGTTAGAGTTCTGTAGGTATACCAAATAAGTAGGGAGCAATGCAAAACTGCCAGAGACCGATCCAAATGCCTTCTCCAATGCAAGTTCCTTGCATCTCCACGCCTTCCAATATGAAATGTTGACCTACATTTCGTAATTCGAGAAAGACCGACACATCATTTATGTAGCCGAATAGGCAACTACCCGTAGACAACTACACTACCTATACGTAATACTAAATTTACCATACCTGGAACTCCTGAAGCATGATTCGCTGGATTTCGATTGGACCGGGGCCTTTCTCCCCCGTGAAAAATCGTGTTTGGATCAGCTCACCAATCACTTGTGTTGTCGCCTGTTTGTGATATTTCCGACGGTCTTCAATGGGGCATGTGTGCTTCAACTTCGCCTTCTTAATTTGGAAGTTCCCAGTGGCATCCATGAGGGAAGCGTATATCCGCCAAGGACATGTCAAATTGATGCAAAGAAACTCCATGTAGTTTGGTGTTGAACGCGGGGTCCTGAAGTGGAATTTCCTATTGATGGCGTGAATAGCCAATTTAATTTTACACTCAACTTTGTTTCGAAAAATTCTCCCAACAAAAATTCCATCGCCTTCGTATCGCATGTCTCGCAAAGCACTGTCTATCCCTGTAATTCCAATTAGGTGAACCAAATGATAAACATTGGTATACATCTATTAAGGTAGTTCACTATATATATATAACTACCTACCATCATCAGAAACATCATCCACTACCGGCGGAGCATCCCTTCCAAACATAGCTGGCACCTCTTCCGTCTCAGAGAAAACACCATTAATAGTTTCATCTGCGCAACTGTACTTGCTTGAAGGGCGGCTACACTCTCCTTTTTCCAATCCGTGACTGGCTGGTACATAACCAGAGTCACCATCCAGCACCTTAGCCTTCCCTTTATCCCGAGCCCTCGCATTATCGTTGTTGTCCTGGTCGGGTTTCTCACCAGCATCATCCACATTTTCATGGATACCCTCACCGGGGATATCATCATCCTTCACAAAGTCCGGCTCCTCTCCAGCTAAACTGATTACAGCTAACTCGTCCAGCCTCTCAGAATTTTCTTCCTCATACGCTTCTGTTCAAAATACGTAGACAACTATGTTAATAGTTTTCTAAACCACATCACGTTATTACACACGTAGTAGTTAACTATGTGGTATTAGGATATTAACGATTTAATAGTTGACTACGCCGACACAGTAGACAAGGTTCTATACAAAATAGGTAGACAACTATCTCGTATTAGGATATTAACGGTTTTATAGTTGACTACTCCGACGTCATAGACAAACTACCAACATCAAATAACGGACTACTCAATAAGTAGCTATTATATTCTGCTTACCGTCACCAGCCGCCTCATCCTCCTCCGTCGTGCCGTAGACAACCAAAGCTTCTTCATTTTCCCCAGGAACCCTCACAACATCATCGTCCGTATTTTCATCTGTGGTTACGCACAGATTGAGCTGGTCGATTTCCGCTCTCATTTCCACAAAGAGCGACACTTCATCATCCGACGACATCAGCACAGGTGGGGCATCGCGACCGTCGTCCATCAGCATGAATGCCGACCACTGGAAAGTAAGTGTTACGCCCACATCTTCTTTGATACACAGTTTTTCCTTAACGAGCTTCACAACTTCATAAAAAATCATCCGCGAGCTTAGGAAAACCGCTTTAGTGTTCCCTCTGCGGTCCGTAAGGAAAGTCCACATTCCGTTGGTCTGTTCGAACCATTTCCCTTTCACCAACAACACCATTTGCCTTCCTGCCATCTACACAAACAAAGGTCAAGAGGTCATAAATATCCAACTACATATGTTAAGTAGTCATAATTTATCCTCAGAAGTAGTTATACCTTCGAAACCAAGAAGTAGACAAACCCTAGACGATTGTTTACTAGCGGCGGTTTATGGAAATTTTCGTCTTAGCTATTTATTTGATCCCAAGGGTCCCCTCCACTAAACATATCCGTACAAATTGACAACACGACAAAACACCTCGGATGGGCAAATAAGGAACAAAAAGTAAGTGATGTTACTGTCTCAAAAACATGGTAGCGTCTGCCTTTAGCTAAGTCCGTGTGGTCCCTATCTGCCACAAAAAACTGATCTCTACTTTTTGGGGAGCAAAGAGCATACTGTCATTTTCACCCTTATTTTTTCGTTGACTTCCGCTACTGAGTGAATTGACTCTTATTGGATGTCACGCGCTTAATTTGCTTCTCCAAATATAATATTGATGCAAATCACCCTAAAAAATAGGCATTTTTTTATTTTTTAAAATATTTTTGCTTAGAATTCTGTACTAAAAACCCTTTAACAACTTCTGATGGAGGTGCTTTAAGAAACTTCATTTTAATTTTAATAGATAAATAAAATAATTAAATAGGATGTCGGCTAACCCAATTAAATAAATAAAATATTTAAGCGCTGACACGAAAGAAGATAGTAGGGATAAGTATGACTTCGACAAAAATAGACAAATATTTATAATCACGTTTCGCTTTCACGACCAATACCCAAACGATTACGA